ACCTAGAAGTCTCCAGCAGGGGGTGGGTGTGACCCCTTTTTCAGGCCCTTCCTCTAGCCACTACCGTATAGGTGGGCAGATATATATTGGGAGAAAGATCGTTCACTATGTTTGTCTCTGAAGGTCAGTTTGTTATCTCTCCAATAAACTTTTAACAACCCTTTTCAAAGGCTTGACAATAGAACAAGTAAGTATACATGACCAGAATACACAATGTATATATTTATATATTTAGTTATGTATTAGTTTTTCTTCAACACGTGTAATTTAGAATTTATTGGTAGACATAAGATCACACACACACACACACACATATTAACGACAAGGTAAATTTCAGAAAACATTAAGAAGTGCAAATATTGAGGGTAAATTTTTTTAAATTCAACTGACCAAATTTTCATTTTATCTGCCATTTTTGTATTACTATTGTTAATTTAGAAACTTTAGAATGTTGGATGTTGAGTATGTTTAATTTTTACGAAGCCTCCAGTTGTGCCAGTGGTGGGTTATGTGCTGTGCAGTCGGTTCTGACTCACAGTGACCCTGTAAAGGGTTTTGAAGCTATAAATCTTTATAGCTTTAAAGCCTCATCTTTCTCCTTCAGAACCACTGGTAGTTTGGAACTGTTGACCCTGCGATAAGCAGCCCGACTCCTAAACACTAGGCTATCAGAGCTCCATAGTTGTGCCAGGAGCCTCTTTATCTTCCCACTTTATCTTCTGTTACCAGATTTTGTTGTATAAGATACTTATCTTTAAGTTGCAAAAGCCTATATAAAAACTTTCATTTTTGACCTTTTGACTTACAAAACTTGATTATAAAGAAAAGAAATCCACCTAATTTTTATGCAAGTTCACAAAAATATCTTTTTCCTTAGGAGTCAAACATTTTCATGGTCATAAAGAACCTTCATAGTTTTAGACTCTTATTAAATTTTATTTTGATTTTCCAGAATGGCAACTCAATTTTCATGGCATTTCACATATTCGTTCTTCTTTCTGCGACATTCTTGAGCAGCTTCTCTGTTTCTTATCAACCTTATTTCTCTTTTCAACTGGGGTCATCTGTCTTAGTTGTTTGAGACGTAAGAGTCACAGGAGTCTGTGGTACTGAAGAAGCTAATAGTGTCATACGGATCTGGTTTAAGTCTGCATATCTCCTGATGTAGTCTGTACAATGGCCCGATTGCTGGGTACAAGTACTGCTGTCCATCAGAGGTCTTTGCATACTAAAAAATTGTTGTACCTTACTGAGTACTGCCTGAGTTTGACATGGTTAATGTCTGACGCCCCTGTGCTCCATCTGTGGCAGGACTGGCAAGCTGTAAGTCTCTATTTGGGCAATGGCAATATACTGTCCAGTGCTAGTCTTGATAGATGGGTGTTGAAATAGCCGTAGAAGTTACAGAAGAAATTCCAGGATTTTCTCCATCCTCTTTTCTATTCCATGTATCTTCAGATGATAGGTCTTTCCAAATTTTCCTATAAGATGGGCATCATGTGAGGATCCGTGGGCTTTCAGTGAGGAATCTATGCTGTCAGCTGAGTCCTGAGACTCCTTGCTTTTTGGGTAAAGATGTTGAGCAAAATGAGAGATGGAGCTCCCTGAACTGCTGAACTGGCCTGGGGTGCCATCTCCATGGAGTTCTTCTTGTGGGAATCTTCCATACTGTGGCTGCCGCCTTGCCCTATGTGAGAAGGGAACTTCCACTCCCCATCGTTAGATACAGTTCACAATTCCATTCTGCACACACCCCCACCCCACATGGCAGGGGAGTCTGTGTCACCTAACAGTCTTAGGCTCTCGTTTCCTAGGCAGTCAGGGCTGTTACTGGCCAAATGAGCTACACCAAGCTGAGGGCTGGAGAGGGAAGGCAGGCAAAACTCCATCTAAGTAAAATCAGAGTCTTGACTAGTTAGACATTTAGACTTCGTGTAATGAGGTCAATTTGCTATCTAGGGTAAAACGTTGGAAATAAAAATATAGATGTATTGGGAATGCTGTATATGTTTTTTCATTGCATTCTCATAAATTATGATGGAACATTAAAGCAGACAGCTTTGAGATTAGATTCATATACACAACCAATTATAACAATAAACTTTTACTTATATGGACAGTATTCAATAAAGATACCTATAATGTAGGTTTCTCTAGACTTTGGAGTATGGGCAAGGGAGAAATCTGTGAAATCTATACATCCGCACCACCAAGGTGGTCCAAACAGTAAACACACTACTCTTCTATTGTTGTTAAGTGTCGTCGAGTCTCTTCCAACCCATAGCGACCCTGTATAGGGTTTCCAAGGAGCAGCTGGTGAGCTTGAACTGCTGACCTTGCAGTTCAAACTGACCTTGCAGTCCAGTGCGTTAACCTGCAGCACCACACCAGTTGACCTTAATGATGTGCATGAAGTAAAGCTTTCAAGACCTCCTTTTGCTGATGTAGCACAACTCAAAATGAATAGAAACCACTGCAAATATCCATTAATAGATGGAATGTGAAATGTATGAATATATCAAAATAGAAGTCATCAAAAATGAGATGGAATGCATAAAAAGCTTGATATCCTAGGTATTAATATAGGTACAATCCTAGTCATAAATATAGACTGGTATTGGCCATTCTGAATCAGTCAGTCATAGACTATGTTGAGAATGAAAAATTGAAGAGTAATGGCATTACATTATTGGTTAAAAAGAGCATTTCAAGATCTATCCTGAAGTACATTGTTACCCGTGTTAGGATAATATCCATACACACACAAGAATGGCCAGTTAATATAACTATTATTCAAATTTAGGCACTTACCACTAATGCCCAAAATGAAGAAATTGAAAAATTTTACCACCTTCTGCAGTCTGAAGATAAAATATGCAGTCAAGATACATTTATAATTCCTAGTGATTGGGTTGTAAAAATTGTGAAAAAAAATCAATAACTTTTTGATTTTTGAAGCATATTCTGATGAAGCTGAAAAAAATATGGCCTTGGTGATAGGACCAACACTTGATAGTTTGCACATCCAACACCTTCTTAATTACAAATAGTATAAAAGTGGATTTCACCAGATGGAATACACAGGTATCAGATTGACTAGATTTGTGGAAAAAAAGGATGGAGAAGCTTGATATCACCAGTCAGAATGAAGGTAGGAGCAGACTGAGGAAGAGACGACGATCAATTGCTCATATGCAAATTCAAATTGAGGCTGATTAAAATATAAACAAGTCCACAAGAGCCACAGTACAGCATTGAGTATATCTCACCTGAATTTAGAGACCATCTCTAGAACAGATTTGATACCTCTGAAGACCAGATGAGCTGTGAGATGATACCTAGTAAATACTACATGAAAGCAACAGCTACCATTGAGTTAATTCTGACTCATAATGACCTTATACAAGGTTTCCAAGACTATAAGATTGCTAAGATTATTTTTAAAAGTTGTAGCAGTACATTGACAGGAAATAACCAGAAATTCAAGCAGGATTCAGAAAAAGGACATGAATAAGGGATATTGTTACTAATATCAGATGGACCTTGGCTGAAGGCAGAATACTATAGATGTTTACCTGTTTTATTGACTATGCAAAGACACTCAATTAAGTGAATCCTCATAAATTACGGATAGCATTGAGAATGGGAATTCCAAAACACTTAGTTGTGCTCATGTGGACTTGTACATAGACCAAGAGGTTATTCATTTGAACATAATAAAGGGATATTGAATGGTTTAAGATCAGTGTGCATCACGATTTTATCTTTTATTCAATCTGTATGCTAACCAAACAATCTGCCAAGCTGGACTACATGAAGAAGAATGTGTCATTAGGGCTGAAGGAGGACTCATTTACAGCCTTCGATATGCAGGTCATACAACCTTGCTTCTGAAAGCAAAGATGATTTTTGAAGCATATTCTTATGAAGCTCATAAAAGACTACAGCCTTTAGTATAAATTACACCTCAGCATAAAGAAACAAAATACAACTAGACCAATATGCAACATCATGATAAAGTGAAAAAATAATGAAGTTGTCAAGGATTTCAGTTTACTTGAAATTTATAATCAATGCCCAATAGAAGCAGTAGTTATGAAAATAAATACCACACTGCATTGAGGAAATTTGCTGCAAAGAACTTTTTAAACAGTTAAAAAGCAAAGATGTCACTTTGTGGATTAAGGTATACTTGGCACAACCATGGTATTTTTAATAGTCTTATATGCATGTGGAAGCTGGACAATGGAAAAGGAAGACAAAAGAATTGATGCCTTCGTATTATGGTGTTGGTGAAGAATGCTGAATGCCCATGGACTGCCAGAAGAATGAGCAAATCTGTCTTGGAAGCCAGTATGCTCCTTAGAAGTAACGATGGAGAGACTTTGTTTCAAGTACTTTGGACATGCTGTCAGAGGGACCAGCTGCTGCTTCTTGGAAACCATATACAAGGTTGCTATGAGTTGCAACCGACTCAACGGCACTTGACAACAACAATAGCAGAGGGACCAGTTCCTGGAGAAGGGCAGTGAAAAAGAGGAAGACTCTCAATGAGATGGATTGATACAGTGGCTGCAGTAATGGCCTTACAAATGCGAGGCTAGCACAGGACTATGCAGTGTTCCATTCTGTTGTACATAAGGTTGTTGAGTCAGATCCGACTCAATGGCAACTAATAATATCAATACAATGAATTATTTTGTAAGGTGAACATTCTGCTCTTGAAATTATATAAAAATAGTATACAGAGATTTTTAAACTATAATGTTGACCTTTAAGGATGAAAACTAGTATTCCATATTCTTATGATCATTTATTGCCCCAAATCACACACGTTTCTATATACAAATGTCTGAAGAACAGAAAATCAGCCAAAAGATAAATCTGGAAACATTTGATCTTCAGTGCCTTAAGAAAACCATACATGTATTGATATACATGAATGTTTAGGAGGTTCTTTACACAATTTAATGGTTTATATCTGCTGACTGCCACAGACTTCACATCCAGGGCTCCCATCCTCCCCAAGTTCTGCCAAGGATATTGGGGTCTGTTGCCTGGTCAATTAAGCACTTCACTTGAGTTTCTTCTGAAAGTCCACTCTCTGTTACTTGAGCACGAATGTTGTGATCTTTAATTCCTCGTGCTACTGCCACATAGTCCCCAAAGACAGATTCCTTCTCATGGCCAAGACGTAATTCATCACTGGAAAAAAACATTAAACAAATGTTAAAATTTAAATTCATAGATGTACTATCCAAATGGTCTCTTGCCACTTCTTTTTTTTAATGAGAATATTTTCGGTTGCTCAAAACCTTGAAGAGATTGAATTTGTAGCAAAATACAGCATGAATAATCACGAATAATGAAAAACAGCATTAATATTTACATGCAAGTTTTATGTGGACATATATTTTCATTTCTCTTACTTCAGTTCTCTTAGGAGTGAAATCAATTAGTCAAATGAGAACTTTCCCAGTTTATGAGTTGGAACCAACTTAACGGTAACAACAAGGAAGCAACAGGATCAGGAAGGCTCAGGATACAGCTCCTCAGTCAGGACAGCCTCTTTTCAGCAATACCCAAAGGCAGGCCTCTCGCTGGGCCTCACCCTACCTTGGGCAACAAAGTTTTTTTTAACTCTGCCAGTAAGTGCTCAAACCATCCTACTTCACCAGCAAGTCTCCTGCTCAACAGCAATTTTCTTGCTCTGTGGGCCAGGAAGTCTCATTCACATGTCTCCTGGCTCTGCTCTCATTGTCTCTCACCACCTCTAATGTCAAAGTTCTGTCTGCAGGATTGAGGAAGTTTAGCACAGGTCCAAAAGGCACGCCCCTCTTCTGAGTCTTTGGTCTGGGACTGCTCATTTTAAACTGAGGAGGATGGCTAAACTGACCAATCCCCATGTTAGAATTTCATACATTTTATTTGCATGGTGCATAAACCACAGGCTGTTATGCATCATTGTTTTT